GGCAGGCCAACAAGGACGAGTCAAGGTCGCCGGTGGGAACTCATTTGCAGTTGCTGCCGTTCGCAGCTTCCGTAGCCTTCGTTCTGTTTTTCTATTTTTTTCTTTCTCTCAAAATTTCCCTTTGCCAACCGCACAATTATTTGCAGCCGGAAAGAAAAGAGGACCTCCCGGCGTGGGTGCGTTGCAAATCGGCTTGCACTTGTCCTTGTCCTTGGCCAACATCTGTGAGCCTCCGACCTGAGCCTGTCTAATAGCCTTAGAGCATATCCTAGCCCTGGCCCTGGCCTGGTCTTTCATGCTTTGCGGTTTAATCGAATTTACAGATTTTCCGAAGAGCTATGTTTTGGGTCTGTTTGCAAACACCGCTTAGGTTTTTATTGGATTAACCACAGACAAAAGTGTCTTAAGTCGCTCAGCCGCCTTATCCCTTTGGCTTATGCAACTTTTGTTTTGTTTTTGTCGAATTTCCTGGAAAATCCTTCAAGCCAATAGCCAATTAAATGGGCGTCGAAACAAGAGATTTAGGACACCAACAAAGGCCCAGATTGCAATCAAAAAAGAGTTTAGTTTAACTTTCACCGATGTAAAGGGAAACTTACACTACAAAAACAAAACCAAGTCGACCAAAATTAATTACCATTTAGGCCATAAAGTAAGATATTAAACACTTAAGACCAATTAGCGGAGGAGAAGAGAAGAGCAAATGGCAGAAAGCGGCTAACAAGCTTGGCTAAAACTGACAAATTAGCTGAGAAAAAACAATTTGCGACGAGTGGCAAATTAAACAAATTACAGCTTTGGCCGGCTAACTTGCAGCGGAAATTGGCAGGCCAAATCAGTTTTCGGGCTAATTGATCGAAAAACGAGTTAAGATCGCATGCAAATCTGGCCAGATGAAGTCATAAAATAACTCTCGACTCTCTTCTCAGCTCGATTCTGAGCTTATGATATGCCAACCGCAACTTAATAAATTTAATAAAAAACAAAAATCCAGCCAAATAGCAATAAATATGAAACTTGTTTTGGCCCAATCCGTCCGATCTATTAGATGGTTATTTTCCCTGGGCAAATAAAGTAGTCAAATTTATAATCAACAAGTTCATTAACATTTAACCCTAAACGAAGTGAACAGCGAAAGCAACAACATTCACGACGTTAAAAAAAAACACAACCGAAGGCGACAACTCAGCGGATGAACAACAGCAACCTACAGGGAAAAAATGTATTTTTAACAAATTAAAAATTGTTTTAAAGCCTGAGGCATTGTGCGTATTAAGCGAGGCGGGGGAAGTTTGGGCAGGGGCCCAACAGGAGGTGGAAGTGATGGGAGTTGGTCCGAAGTGAAGGCAGCCAACCAGCCGGACTGACAAACGATTTACGAACAGAGTTAAATTTTAATTAAAGACAGCCCAGAAAGGTTTATGGGGAATATTAAAGAACGAATTGATATATACACTAATTAAGATTGTTTTATTATTATTTTAGGGAAAGTTAAACCCTTTCTTTAAGCTATAATATAATACAAAGCTCTTAAAGGAAATACTTCAACTAACCATTAAGTTACCTTTCCCAAGAATCATAGCCCTTTAAACCTAAAAAACTTCCCTAAAATCCCACCCAATACTAACCAATAAATCACCAGACAAAAAGTATAAACCATAATTCAACCCAAAATCTCTATCTAGATAACTATTGTGTATCCCTAAGAATAAATCACACTGGCTATATCGAATATCATACGGAAACCTTTAATCTTCCTAAGTGGCGCACTTTCCCCATTAGTTGCCAGTGTTATTTTCGGCCTATCAGATCCTCGTTTCCAATTACGTGTGGTAACTCTATAGCCGAATAGGTTCCCAGAAGGAGAGCAGCTCTTCGGCATGGTAGGGTATGCAAATGACAGACGTACTGCTCAAGGGAAGTGAGGAGTGAGGGAAAAAACTGAGATACGTACGAGTATATTATGACTCGCATGTGTGGCCATTAATAACTCCCGATCGCCACTCGCCGGCACTCAGCACAGCGGACGGATTTACGCATTTGGCTGCGTAAAATATGAATTTTAAATTACCCAGTCTTTAGAGTTTTTCAGTTTTCAGTTCACAGTTTCCCGTTTTCAGTTCCCATTTCCAGTTTCCAGCTGTTAAAGCGAAGAGAAATTATTTAAGTTTTAAGCGAGGGAACATCACCGTGACTTGGAGCCCTGAAAAAGGCGTTCATTTTGGTTTCGACCCGTTTTTCGTTCCAGTTTTAATTTCGTTTCCAGTTTGACAATTGAGTTGTAGCCTGCGATTAAGAGCCACATGCAGTTGAGATTTTTTCATTAACCAGTAATTTGGAGATGATAATATTGACTGAAACTGTATATTATATAGGTAATTAACTTGGGAAAGTATGGAGATTACAAAATTAACTTTCTTTTGGACTTTTTCGCTTTAATAAAGATGCAGTTTTGTATCTTAAGAATGCAAAGAAATTCTTGAGCTTGTAATAAATGGGCTTAGACGTATTTTGGAACATTTTCTTATACATTTTTAGGCCTTCTTGCATATCTGACTTAAATAAATAACTTCAAAACTTGACTTAAATAAATATGTTATTTGATATCCTCAATATCTCGAATAACATAGATAAGATCTATGAGAAATGCAAATGATATAGAAATAAAAAATCAAAATATTTTTCTATGATTTTTTGTTTTTTGTTAGTATGTTTTGGCACTCTGACAAGTTCGTTGTTCGAGTCTTTTGTTTGGCCGGCAGCTACAGAGTTGAGAAAAAGCCATTAGAGGTCGAAAAGTAACCGAAAAGCTGAAATAGAAACAGAAACAGTAGCCGAAGTAATGGAAAGGCAAAGCTCATTAGCAGTTACCATTTTATCCAAACAGACGGACGCATCATTATCATTAAGGGCAAACGGGAAAGCAACAACAACAACAACTGCAACAACTACAGAAATCAGAAAACAAGTTGAAAACTTTAATTAACGCATTTTTACGCAACTGTCGGCGGCAGTTTAACCCTTTTCGTGGCCAAACGCTGAGCAAACACGACAACGGTAATAATTGAAAATCATGGCAATCAAAGCGGAAAGTGTGTGGAATGGAAATGGAATGGAAAGGGGTGGTGGAAGTTGAGCGGAAAAATCAACAGCTGCCGTCGGCAACAATACACTAGGTACGAGGAAGACAGAGAAAGGGGAGTGCAAGAGAGAGAGGCAGCAGCCATTGTTGTCATGCGTGAGAGAGCAGGGAAGAGCGAGGGAGCTAGCAAGGAGCGTGCAAGCGAGACAAATATATATAGTAAGTTCGAAATTTCGAAGGGGAAATAAAGCGAGCGCAGCCTTCCAGTTTCCAGTTTTTCCCAGTTCGACTTTTAATGGCTGACCGCAGACTGGAAAGGTGCGTTCGAACCGGTTAAGATCGAAACGAAACGGTTAGGCCCTCTCCAACGGCAATTCAATTCAACGAAAATGCGCTATTAAAATTCTTTTTATTAATTTATATTCGATTCAAGTCCATTTGATACTAATAAAAATGCGCATAAAAATTGCATAAATTTGCGGCCCATTGATTGCCGAACAGGTTATCCACGAATTTTGCTCTAAATATGGATTATGGCTTATTGTCTGGGCGTTAGTTTATTGGCTTAGATTGCTTATGTCACAATTGGCAACAGGAAATTGGTGGGAGTGGCGGCAAGATTACTCTCTCTAATTAAATCCTTTGCCCCATAAATCAGTAGCCCACATGGCGGCGGCGATCGCTTGGCTTTTATTATTCAAAAAAATTAACACAACAAATACCGCTCACTGCCCGCTGCTGGCCATAAGGCAATTCATTAGCGTTTTCGGTATTTGATTTTCGGTTTTTATTCAGCTCGAACAGATTCGTTGATTTATGTGCCATATATCAGTGGCTATATGTTTTCGGATTCCCCCCTCCCATCTCTACACTATTTGCCAGCACATGTTTCACATTTGTAGATCTTCGTTTGATTAGAGGTCTCCACCAGAAATTAAAAAAAAAAAAATTCGATCTATTGTTAATGTCCAATGCCAAATGGCGTTCGTTTTTAACACCTTCTGAAGTTTATTTTGACAGTTAGCGATGGCTTTTTTCCCATTTGACTGGGCAAATCGATATTCGATGGGCAAATAAATAAATTAAAAGTCAATTAAATATCAATCAATTGCGTCAGCTGTTTTTCAAGGCACATTTAACTGGTTAATTGTTGGCCCGCCGAAAATAAATTGTCATCGTGTATTTAGCATGTTTTTGTGAAAAATCGCAAATGATTCGTATAGCCAGGGTAGGGGGTGATAAAAAGTTTTCCCCCTCGCATTTAAATTAAAACAATTAGCTTTGCGGTTTTCCCATGCTTCTCTCTTTTGTGTTCCTCTCCCCTCTTTTCCCGGCCAAAAAGGTGGTGTCGATAAAGTTGTAGGCTGTAGAAAACGCAGATTGAAACGTCGCGGCCAAAAACAAAATCAACAAAAACTAAATGCTTATGAAAAGTGTCTAAAGAGACAGAGATGGCATTTGGTTCTCCCCCTCTTGGAAAAGGCAGCCATTTTCCCAGCTTGCTTTCAGTAAGTGAGAGCAGTGCGGCTATATAACCCCACCAGTGGTAACGCCCCGTGAGAGAGGGAGAGCTTGCGCCTGCGCAGTTCGCTGGGGACACAGTTGTCAACCGACTGACAGCTCCAGCATGCGCATAATAAAGTCATATTGCCGCCTAACAAGCCCCCCTCCCCCACCCAACACCACAAAATTGGCAACACAGAGAGAGTGAGTGAGAGAGTAAGCAAGAGAGAGATATGCTCAGCAGGCTAAATAAGAGGAGTGAGTGAGCCAGAGAAACCGGTTCGCAGAGGGCAGGTGACAAGGCTAAAAGAGAGAGCAAAAATCGATCAGGCAGAGGAACATCTTCTACTCTCATCTCTTCACGTCACTGTCACCAAAGTGCTGTCACTCACTCGCTCGCATGCCGACTCGCTTGCACTTGGGCTCTACCATACTTGTGCCCTGCTTGTTAATGCCCTCTCGCTCGGGCCTGGTCGGACCTCTCTTTCGCCCGTGACAGTTCAATCGGCTCTCGCGTTAACTCTCCCCGACGTCGTCGCTGCGATTCCGAAGTAGTCAACTAATTCAGTCGTTGCGCTCGATGTGAACAGACGTGCGTGTCGGAACAAACAGCCGAAAATCAAACACGAAAATCAAACAGAAAGCCAAACACAGAAGAATCTCAGACTAAATCTGAGCAATCAGAAGAATCAGAAACCCAAGTGTCAAGTGACTAAAGTGACAAGTGTCTTTAGCGTTGTGTGTATTTAAGCCAAGTTTAAACCAAATCAATGGCCCTGGAGGATCGCTGCAGTCCACAGTCAGCGCCCAGTCCCGTTACCCTACAAATGCAGCATCTCCACCATCAACAGCAACAGCAACAGCAGCAGCAGCAACAACAGCAGCAACAAATGCATCTCCACCAGCTGCAGCAACTGCAGCAGTTGCATCAACAGCAATTGGCCGCCGGTGTCTTCCATCATCCGGCCATGGCCTTTGATGCCGCTGCAGCCGCCGCTGCTGCAGCAGCTGCTGCGGCCGCCCACGCCCATGCTGCTGCACTGCAGCAGCGTCTAAGTGGCAGTGGATCTCCTGCATCCTGCTCCACGCCCGCCTCGTCCACGCCGCTGACCATCAAGGAGGAGGAAAGCGATTCCGTTATCGGAGACATGAGTTTCCACAACCAAACGCACACCACCAACGAGGAGGAGGATGTGGAGGAGGACGATGACATCGATGTGGATGTTGATGATACATCAGCAGGAGGACGTCTGCCACCACCCGCCCACCAGCAGCAGTCCACGGCCAAGCCATCGCTGGCCTTTTCCATCTCCAACATCCTCAGCGATCGTTTCGGTGATGTTCAGAAACCAGGAAAGCCCATGGAAAATCAGGCTAGCATTTTCCGGCCATTCGAGGCGAATCGCTCTCAGACAGCCACGCCCTCCGCCTTCACCAGAGTGGATCTCCTGGAGTTCAGCCGCCAACAGCAGGCCGCCGCTGCTGCAGCCACTGCTGCCATGATGCTGGAGCGGGCCAACTTCCTGAACTGCTTTAATCCCGCTGCCTATCCCAGGATCCACGAGGAGATCGTTCAGAGCCGCCTGCGAAGGAATGCAGCCAACGCCGTCATCCCACCGCCCATGAGCTCTAAGTTGAGCGATTCGAATCCCGAGAAGTCCGCCCTGGGATCCCTGTGCAAAGCGGTCTCGCAAATTGGACAACCTGCTGCCCCATCGATGACACAACCTCCCCTGAGCAGCAGTGCCAGCAGTCTGGCCAGTCCACCACCTGCCTCCAATGCCTCCACCATCAGCAGCACCTCCTCCGTGGCCACAAGTTCGAGTTCCTCCTCATCCGGTTGCTCCTCGGCAGCTAGCTCGCTGAACTCCTCGCCCAGCAGCCGTTTGGGAGCAAGTGGCTCTGGATCTGGCGTTAATGCCAGCAGTCCCCAGCCTCAACCCATTCCTCCGCCATCTGCCGTTAGCCGGGATTCCGGCATGGAGTCCTCGGATGATACACGATCCGAAACGGGATCCACCACCACAGAGGGCGGCAAGAACGAGATGTGGCCCGCCTGGGTTTACTGCACCCGCTACAGCGATCGTCCCAGCTCAGGTTAGTATCTGTTAGATTAAGTTGGATTTGAGAAGATCTTAAATGGGATATAGAAGGGGTACATATAAGGATAAATCATCTTTAAGTTTCCCTGACAAAATACCCCACGAAGGCTGTCACAACAAGGAACTCCCAAAGGTTCGGCATAAAAAAGTCCATAACATATTCCACATGACACATGAAAATGGTATTATGGGGACCACCCAGTGGGGAGCGTAATAGTGGCGGCAGCCTTTCAAGCAGCTCTGTTTTGTGTCATAAATCCGAAGGACACTGCCACAATTAGGCGACACGCGGACAATGGCAATGAGTCTGACTCCCATTTCTATAACTATCCATACCCATTCCCATTCCAAATCCGAATCCGATTTTGGGCCTCACGCAGCGAGTGCGCTCCTTTTGAAGAGCGACACTTTATGTGACATCGTGTAGCGCACAGGCTGCAGCTCTTGGCTATCGGAACTGTTAGATCCTCGGGTCGAAGGTCACCGGTCACGCACACACACGCCAAGCAGAAGCAGGCGACCCTAAAAACCCGCTGACGATTGACGCACGAAAGCGGGGGAGAAGTCATGTCAAGATAGTATGATAGGGGGGAAGACCCGAAACCCCGAAAGGAAAACTCTTTCAGAGATTTTTCCTCATGTAGCCTCTTCTTAGGCTTTGTGTTAATTGACGAGTTAAGTGCTTTTTTATGGCCGGCAATGGTTTTTTAATTTGGTGTCAATGCAATCGATGGCAGACCATAATCGAGGCGTTGATAGCCACTCTCAGCGGCTAGAAATTAATCACAACGATCTCTAGTTACTGCCGGTCAATTAAATTATAATTTACAATGTGTGGAAATCTAATAAGCACTTCGGATCGAAGGGGTCTCCAGTTGCCAATTAGCCAGTGACTTGGACTTAGTTGTTAATTAGTTAGTCTAAGAGTTAGGAAAACCATTTGACTAAAATATGCCCGGCAAGCGACCTTTGGGTTCGTTAGAGGCAAAGTTCTTCTTTTCCGCTGACAGCTGACAAATTAAACACTTCCCCGCCAGCACGCGAAAGGGAGTGCGAGTGTAGAGGAATTCCGACCCAGACATATGCTAATTAAATCATTAATATTATTAATAGTATGTGCCGCATTTATGCAAATAGAACTAACGTATATGTATATATTTTTCTTCGTTTTATTTTAGGACCCCGCTACCGCCGCCCCAAACAGCCAAAGGACAAGACCAACGACGAGAAGCGACCACGCACAGCCTTCTCCAGCGAGCAGTTGGCCCGCCTTAAAGTGAGTTTCTATATCATATAGTATATAGCCAGCCCATCCCATATCCATATCCAATTCCCCCTGCCTTTATGTTGTGTCATATTTGTACCAAAATATTGACACCGCCCGCTGTTAATGCATCCTGGGCCACCACCGCATCCTGTCCGTACTTAACCAATTAGCCACGCTCGGCCTAAAACCGCAAATAATTGATTTTCCCTACCTGACTATGTATATATCTTCCATGTACATCCGAAACTCATCCAGTTTTTCTCTTTTTTTCCAAATTACAGCGGGAGTTCAACGAGAATCGCTATCTGACCGAAAGGAGACGCCAGCAGCTGAGCGGCGAATTGGGCCTGAATGAGGCGCAGATCAAGATCTGGTTCCAGAACAAGCGGGCCAAGATCAAGAAATCCACTGGCTCCAAGAATCCTTTGGCCCTGCAGCTGATGGCCCAGGGATTGTACAACCACACCACCGTGCCGCTGACCAAGGAGGAGGAGGAGCTCGAGATGCGCATGAACGGGCAGATTCCTTAAGCAAAAGGCAAAAGGCAGTTTTCAAAGGACCTTCAAAGGGGGCGTGCAATATTCGAGGGCGTACAAATGGTTTTTCATGTGATATAATTGTAGCGTACATATGTTTTTGTATATAGTATATATATAGTATATATATATATCTTTAAACCCTAACTTAGCCTAAGATCTAAACGTAGCGAATTTGAGCTGTAAGTTGTTGGCCTATTTATTTAACCACCTTTGGCTAGCCGAAAAGTATTAAGCTATCAAGAAAACACCCTAATCAAGGCTTCTAGCTATCGCTTCGACTTTCAGACACTTATATTCCTACACACGAATCATCTATAGTTATTATTCTCGATAAATTATGTGCTTACGAACCAATCTGTATATTAAGTAACTTAACAGTTTCCCACACTTAGCCTAATTCTTAGTTAGTCTTAAGGATCGCTATGAATGAGTATTTTTAGTTACTAAGCGAAATGTTAAACGAGCAACTAATAGCTGGCAAATGCACCTAAGAAATTAACGACGAAATGTTTGTGCTAAAGCAAGTTCAAGAAAAGAAAAAAGAAAACTCAAAAAAAGTGAAATAAAAGAATTATGAAAATTTACATTTTGGTCTTTGCAAGATTAAAGGGGGCAAAATATCAAGCCTACATCTGGGTTAATCGTTGGCATTATCCTTGGTTTTTCTCTCTGATATTTCCCCATGCAACTGTCACATCAAAGGCTGCAGGTCTTTAAATCAAACCAACACTTGTCGTCAGAGGGCGAGGGCGAAATTGCCCTGCTAATTGCACAATCACATTCCGAATCAAAATCAGAGGCAGCATCTTGGTCTTCGATTCCATTCCGTTTAATTAAAGCCAAATCCGCTAAAACTATAAACAAATATCTCTGACGAGACAGAAGTAAAAAGATACAAAAAAAAAAGAAGATGTATTAGCAGGGAGCTGAGAGCTGGGAGCAGGGCGCAGTCAGTCAGCCGCAAGTTGGCATCAAATGATTTATTGGCACAGATCTTGCGGCGAGCGGCGTTAATTTGCTGAAAATAAATGCAAATGCAAAAATGCAATTCAGAAATCGGGATGGGGGCGCGCGAGATGGGCAGCTGACATTTACTGGCAAGCGTTGATGTGTGCACTGCAGTTTAAGATACATAGATACTCATATATACTATATATACGAGTATATATATATATCTAAAATGAATATGAATTGATGCCAAACGCTAATTGCACAGCTTGAGGCTCAAATCCGTTCGTTCGCATGTCTCGAGGGGGGCTTTTCAGCCAATGCGGATCTCAAATCGGCCGAATTATAGAGGCGCAAATCCATTTGTGCACGTAATGAACCAATTAGACAATTTGCCCATTAGCAGTACACACAAACATACCCGCAATCTGTCTCGCCATCTGTCTGTCTGTCGGTTGGTATGGTGTATGTATCTTTGTATCTGCAAATCGAATTAAATGGAAGCGGAAATCAAGTTAACTTTTTTATTAGATACTCTATAAGTTAGCTGGTGGGAGTTTAAACATGGCTTTGGGCTTTCAGTTTCTTCAGTTTGTGTTCATGTTCCGGAAGAGTATAATTCCTCTTTTATAGTACTAAAGTACTTAGCTTATATATCTTCAATCTCTACATGTTTTATGGTTTAACCTCTTTGCATCTCAAACTTAAAATCAGTTAAAAACCTTCTCCTCTAAAACAGTTCTTTAGGGGTTACCTTTAATCTTAATGTTGTTGAAGACTTCATCTCTCTTCCAAGCTAAAAATCAAGTTCAGTTAAGAAGTTCCTTCTCTGAGAATGAAGTAAACTGAACCGTAAAGCAAAATATCTTTTAAAGAATATGTCCCTTAAGGCTGCTTAACTTTAACCTAAACAGTTTTAAAGATTCTCTTCTTAGCTGAGAAACAAATTTAGATACATTTTGCATACAAAATAAAGTTGTAATAAAACAAAAGTATCTTTTAAAATATAAATTTTAAACTTAAGTAAAAAGTAATCATAAATTTACAGATTTAAGCCTTAACATTTTTCAACCTTACTAACGATAAATCAACGTAACTCTTTGACATATTTTCTACTGAAAAAGTAACTACTTTATTATCGCCATGAAATATAGATAATAAACCTTAGACTTTTTAACTTGTCACTTTAAATGAGATATATATTTAGGTATTAAAAAGATTCCTTTTTATTTATTAACTTATTTAGTTTACCAAATTTGCTCTAGGAGGGAATCTCTCATGGCAACCTACTACTTAGCAACAATTTAAACTTTAATCACGCTTTAAGCCCCGCTTTAATTCTAATGAATCACTTTCAATAGCAATATTGATTCATCGATTGGATAGTTAGAGCCGCACGACTCTATCAATTTCGTAACGAGTGGGGTCACCTGTAATTGATTACCTGCTAGCTAGCGTGTGGCAATGTGTGAGTAATTTGCCGTCTAATAGTTGGGCCAACAAAACGAAGGCAAATTACATACCCCAAACTATCGATTATAGTCCCCTATTGAGATATAGATATCATCATAAGCAAGTCGAGGTTACCAATAAGCTTTGCCTTGGTAGGGTGCTCTACAGAGTTAGTAATGCCTTTTCTTTTCGTTTATTTTAGTTTAATATCAAAGCAAACACTTTCAACACTTCTAATTAGGAGGAATTGCCAAGTGACACACTAAATTTCACTTTCAGACAGCTCAGGGAATGGAATTTCAATTGCGCATACAATGTATGGGGTATTTGGTTAGGGGATGCTGAGGCCTTCAAGGAAAAGGAGTTAGGGGAGCGACGATGAGATCCATCGAGCGGGCTATTAAAAAGCCACAAAAACACATATGCCGACTCCATAAGTCAGTCGTCTGTGTGGGCGCTGCTTCCCCTCTTAACCCGATCCCCATTTCTCGATTTACCCCATCTACCATTTCCATAGCGACTGTGATTTATGCCCCTTTGACGCTGGCTACAAATACAAAATGCAAACTACAAAATCAGCACAGAGAGAAAATCAGTGCTAGTAATTATAATTTTAAAAGGAATTTCATTTGGGAGATGTTTTTATATACTACTTTCTTCCTAATAAACGGAAAGAAAAGAAAGGACTACATTTTCTTTAAATAAATCTTAAATCTCAAACTATCTGAGAAGTCCTAGTAAGATTCTCTCAGTGCCCCAATGCTACTCAAGATGCTGGAGTGAATAGTAAATGCCCCCTTTTGATTTCGTATCCAAGACAGACACGTGTCTGCCACCCCGTTCAGCTGCACATCCCTCATCGCCACAGATCGCCCCCTCCACCGACGATCGCTAATTGCACTTTTTGGGTGGTGCAGCATTTTGCAGTTTTGTCGCCTTAATTGCCGCTATGCCGGGGCATCTAGTAAACATCCAAATGGGCGACGGCAGATTTATTTGGCCCATCGCAGCGCCACTTGTTTCCGCTTCGCTTTATCAATTGATTTACGAGATATATACATATATATATAGAGTACATACTATATGAACATATGAAGTCGGAAAATATACGGCAAACGAAACAGTCGTCGTACTTAAACGTTACGATTACGAGCGCCTGATGTTCGCCATTTGTGCCGGCCGGAGTTGTCAGTAAAACTAAAGCTAAAGCTGGAGCTGAAGAGATGGAGATGGAGCTGGAGCTGGAGCTGTTGGCATTTCATAATCGCTGCTGGTGCTGCTGCCAGAGTTCCGTGGAAAGTGCACTCAATTATGGCCAACAGACAGGCGCTCCAAGTCGCGGGCCAGCTCTCCTGTACGTTTTTTACCGCGGCGCTACCAATGGCATGAGGAGTATCTCATGAGTATCTCACATATTATGGGCTGCCAAGTTTCAGCTTCAGCTCCAGCCTAAACAAACATTCAAATGGTCGGTTGGATGGTCGGTCGGTCGGTCGGTCGGGCGGCTCACACACTTGGATTTGGATTTGGATTTTCAGCAGAAGTCAACGCCAACATGGCCAGAAAGGCTGAGTCTTTAAGCCCTGGCAACGCATCATCATCATCATCATCTCTCAGCCTCCATCTCCATCTCCTTCAACTCGAGACGTCAATGCTCTGTTGACTCAACGCATTTGATCGGCTTGCGTATGTATCTTTGTATCTCAGTATCTTTGTTACGTTTGTATCTATGTATCTATGGTGTATATATCTGTGTATCTTAAACCCCTTTGCTGGCGCTTAGCACTGACCAAATATTTGATCCTCGCTTTGTTAACCCATTGTAATTGATTGTCTTTCGTTAGGCGCATTCAGCAGTCTGATTTCTAGAAGCGAACTCCGTGAGCGGCTACAATTTGCTGCCTGCTAATTGCTCAGCTGCTTGCGCCTTTGTTTGGCCGGCGATTTGCACCTCCTTAGCTGCTAACTGCTCTCAATGCCCAGCTAATTGAGTTGGTCAACACGGGCGCCTCGTTCGGATGCCATTGATGGGTTAGAACTTTTATTTAAACGAAAATGATCAGGCAGTATCTTGAAGTATCTTGAAAAGTATCTTTGCGGTATTGGAATTTATCTAAGGTTTAAGAAAAATGGAGCACTTTTCTCTGTTTAAGATTCAGTTTTAGTTCCTTTTTGGTGCTTAAAAATGGATAGTTTTTACATTTCTGGGAAGTTTATTTAATCTTTAACTATTATAGGCTAAAATATGTTTAATGAAAGCTTATAAATTTGACATTTATGATCATTTTACTGAAGTTGTCGAAATCGTATAGGACTATGTCTAAGAGCTTTAGGAGTATCCCTTAAAAAGTATATTCCGGGGTAAGGAGCATACATTTTTGATGTTTTTCTAACACCGCTTTCTTGTCCATGAAATCTATGGGAACTTCTTTTATAGCCTAGCTCTTACTTAACCCTAGAAAGAAAAATATTTCCAATAGAAATTATAATCAAGCAAGCGGCGCCTCCGGCGGTGGGTCTCCCGGATGTAATTGCAGCCATCAAAGAGCCAAAATAATTGAACATTTCGTTTATGAGCCCTGTCAAATGGCCATAAATATATTATAAATATTATTATGAATAAATGCATGTCGCTGGGTGAGAGCCAGGACTGCTGTTTATTACCCGACAAAGAGACAAAAAAATAAAAGAAAAAGCCATGTTAGAGCCATGGCTTACAGGTTTTCACCTCAGCGGTGGGTCTGCCTGGCGATGATGACATTATTAACATTATTTTGTGCTTATTAATGCTTAATGGCAAAACGTAAAAACGAACATTATTTTCGTGTATGTAAATGTCATTGAGGTGTCGTCTGCCGCCAAGTGGGTTAGCCAGGTGTGTAAGAAAGAGAGAGAGAGAGAGAAAGAGAGAAGAAAACAATTATTAATTTGAACCGCGGGTCAAGACACCACTGAGCCAAAGACTCCGCCTAATTGAAATGCACCAACAACCTTGCAACTGCTGGAATGACTGAATGAATGCCCAACTGACTGACTGACTGACTGGCTGGGTGAATAAATGACCAACTGACTAACTGACCAGAAATGCATTAGCCAGAAGATACGAAAACTCCAAGGTGGTCAATGCCAGGGAGACAAATGATCCCCAACAATGGGGGCCTTGCAAAAAGTTAATAAAAAAACAAACCAACTTCATTGATAATGACAATATTTTGGCATTTGAATATGACAAACAACGAACAATAAGCCAACTCTCCGAGTGGCTCCTTTTCGATCGCAGCGAGTGCAACGGAAGTCCCTCATTTATCATGCGATGAAATTCGCGTTATGCGAAATGTTTTTCTTTTTCTTTTTTTATTTGATTTAGCATTGCAACCATTACGGATCGCCAAGGTTTCTTTTTGGCCAACAATCATATATC